AACATCTCTGTTTTTTCTTCCCATCTTACCAAAGACCTATGTTCTATTACTGCAGAAACAGTTATGTACTGGGAATAAAACCCCATCCTGACCCATTATTTTCTCTGCTCCTTCTAAGGAAGTCCAGTAGGGAGATTAAAACTTTGTGGAAGACTATCCAGAACCAGGAGATCAAGCTTAGTGAAAGCCAGAAAAACTTCTGGTATGAGAATATGCAAAGGAAACCCAACTCAACAGAAATGTGATACTGGAGATCACTAAGGAGTCTACAGAAATATTTTCATGACTGTGAACTTGAGATTTCTCAGTTGCTTCCAGGCCACAGACAGGATGGCTTTACTCTGTATCTTACCACTCCCTGGTCACTAAAACCAGCTGTGTGGGAAGAGGAGAGAAGATGCACCTGTCTCCTTCACTTAGAAAGGAGCTCAGACTCTGAAACTACAGTTCCTCTTCTCTTTCCCAATTAATCGCAATCCCTTTCCAACAACTCAAAGTGATATTGATATTCCTATCTCTTGACTCCAGCCAAAAGTCCCCAACAATGCCATATACTTGAAGGGCAGTGAAAGACCCGAAAATCCGAGAAGGGCTCATCAGTGTGGGAACTACAAGGACAATTAAAAGTGGAGATAAAATGTTTTCAGATTGCTTATCCCATCGGGAACTGGGAAGAGTGGGGAGCTGTGGTTGCAGGGAAGTAGCTGGGGACGGAGATGAATAAAGGAACACACCAAAAGCAAGTAATTGCCCTCTGGGGATTCTTAGGTTCTGAAAAGTTAGTAGCTGAGGCTGACAGAGTAAAACCTCCACCCCCCAGAACAGGATGGACAACTGTTTCAAGGACTTCCTGAGAAACGTGTCACTTCGTCACCCAAAAGGAATTCCATGCAGGAGATGAGCACACAGCAGCCTCGGTGAGTCCCCCACAGGGAAGGGTAAGAGAAGGAGAGAACAGAGCCCAAATTCCTGGGAGCAGCCGGGACAGCCCTGGCATCCTCCCCTGTATTTTTCTCACTATTATAGTTGGAGGCTCTTTCCATGGAGGATTGAGCCAATGGAGGATTCTTCCCATGACCTAGATAATGCAACCATTGCTTTCAAGCCCCTCAATAGAGTCCTCAGTCTTGGTCAGTCACCTAAGCAACAGTATAAACTGAAGTGCTCAGTAGATAGACATACACTGAAAACACTGAAGAGTAGAGGTCAAAAGGGATCAATCTCTTTTCTTGGCCTCAAGACGTCTGCATTATATTGGACATACGAAGGAATGCAGAAGGGCAGAACTCAATTACTAGAAGAACCAAACATACACATAAGCTTATCTTTTCTTTTTTTAAGAGGAAGGTGAATATTCTCAAGCATTAAGAAGCATAATCTTTAGGGGAACTAAGGTAGGCTTGTTAAGGGTCATCCCACTCTAGGAATTACCTGGGCCCGACTGTGGAAAGAAGCCCTGACAACCCAAGTGGTTCTCCCATTTCTGTGTGGCTCCTTCACTATTTCCTTAATTTCTGGTCTTTAAGTCAAGCTGATCTCATTTAGTGGCACCTCCCCAAATAGTTACGTGCAATACGAATGCTTTGATCCCCAAACCCAGTAACTGATCATATCTTAGTGTCCATAGTCTCACAAGCTACTATGCATTTCTTCTTCAAGACTGAAGAATTTCTTTTTCCCTCTTATACTGTTTCAAACTATAGCTTATATTTACTCACTTACTGCAGATCTTTAGAGCTGGAGAAATCTTGGTGTCTACCTAATTTGCTCATTCTGCGGATGAAGAAACTATGGCTCAAAAAGGTAGTGGCTTACAGGGTACCTGGGTGGCTCAGTTGGTTAAGTGTCCGACTTTGGCTCAGGTCATGATCTTGCAGTTTGTGAGTTCGAGGCCTGCGTCAGGCTCTGTGACAGCTCAGAGCCTGGAGCCTGCTTTGGATTCTTTGTCTCCCCCTCTCTCTGCCCCTCCCATGCTCGAGCTCTGTCTTTCTCTGTCTCTCCATAATGAATAAGCATTAAAACAAATTTTTTTTCTAAAGGTAGTGGTTTATAAGGTTATTTAGATGGTTTATTGATACAGGTTGACACCCAAGAAGTCTCCAGCAAATGCACTGGTTGTTTCTTCGCTTCTACTTTATTATTTCTACATATCTGCCTGGTTACTTAGTCTGACTCTGTCTCCACTTACCTGACTTGGTAGCTTCCTTTGAAAACTCTAGTAAAAGTCATGATAATTCACCCTCTCTATCCTTCTGCCAGGCTGAGTTCTTAGAGAGGGGGCAGGGCTGTATTATACATCCTGTTACCCCAGCACCTGTCACTGGAACAGGCACTACTCAGTGCTCAGTAAATGTTCACTAAGTCAAGCAAAGTGGAATGAAATTCTCTAATCCCAAAAAGCTGAGAACAAGACCATCTATTAATAAAAAAAAAAAGTTTATCACCATGTAAAAATAGAATCAAAGGGGCACCTGGGTGGCTCAGTCAGTTAAGCATCTGACTTCAGCTCAGGTCATGATTTCACAGCTCATGGGTTTGACCCCCACGTCAAGGTTCTGTGCTGATGGCTCAGAGCCTGGAGCCTGATTTGGATTCTGTCTCTCCCTCTCTCTCTGCCACTCCCCCGCTTGCACTCCGTCTCTGCCTCTCTCTCTCTGTCTCTCAAAAATAAATAAATTTTTAATTTAAATAAATAAACAAATAAAAGCAGCATCAATATTTTATTGGAAGAAAAAAAGGTATTGAGCTCATCCGGCACATAGAGCATAGTACTACCCACTAGGTATAGACAAACCCTTGACCTTAATTTTTCACTTACTGAAGCAGGGTCTTCAGTAAGTTAAGTAATATTTAGGCAATAGGATTTATTACAATGGGGATTTATGTACATTTATATTCTGTTAACTTTCTGGCCTCTATAGCACATATTCATATTGTTTTTTGTCCTCGTATCACTTGGGCAGAATTTACTTTGGTGAAACGGACTTGCTGAGTGTAATAACAACAGCCAGTTATGTTTATTTAGTCCTTTACAAAGCGCATTCACGTTAATTTCTTCATTTGATCTTACTCAAGATATTGTGAAATAGGCATTATTATTTGTCCCACATTTCAAATGAAGAAACTGAGGCTCAGGGAGGTCAAGTAACTTGCCCAGGGCACACAGCAAGCTAATGGAAGAGGCAAACTAGAACTTGGATCCCTTGATTTCTCATTCAAAGCTTTTCACACTCACTACACAGTATTTCTCTACATGGCAAGAGAGCTGTCCTGGGCCTCCCATCTAAGATTCCTCAGGTGCCTCCCTTCCTAGTCCATTGCCTTCCACAACTTCCTTCCGACCCCTCACTCCCTGGCTCAGGGAGAGTTGAGATTGTGCAGTGTAGACTTAAATCTGGTTCCAGCATGGTTCCCAGGGAGATCTGATACCTGGACCGACCACCTTACTCCTGTTCCTTGGCTTCCTTGTCCATAAAATGAAATGGATGGAATCCATGATCTCTATGGTTCCTTCACTTCTTACATGCTTCATTTTCTTATATAGTAACAGGGTTCTTCCGAAGGGAATCTGGATCCATGGCAGTGACTCTGAAGGGGAGAATTCTGGATGCCTGGCAGCCTACAGATCATATATCAGAGCAGAGTTACCTCCTCTGCTGATACAAGGACCCAGCTTGGTGGGCAGCCACAGGCTCCCTGGGGTGGTGCTCAGAACCCAGCCACCATCCTCTGGCTCTACAACCAGGTCACCAACCCTGAGAATCTAAAGTCAGTTTCTATTTTTAGTTTCGACAGTGATGCCTTCCAGCCACTCTGGGACCAGGGCTGAAGGGAAGGCGAGGGAGGCCTGCTCCACCCTGGTTCCCTGCTCTCTCGCGGGCCACGGTCTCCAGCCAGAGGACATCTCAATTAGATTATGACTTTCAGCTCTATTATATTTGATTCTGTGGCTCCAAGCTGGTTTTCTTAACACTGATGTATTCCTTTTGTCCTCTGTTTAGTTGTCTTGTTTGATTGTCACGGATTTTACCAAGATCCAATTTCAAAGTTTCTTATTTGATTCTGTTGCACTGCTGATTTTCTAAACATAAATTCCTAACATTGAAAGGCATTATATACCGGAAGGTGGTTGAAAACATAGTACCCCATATACTCAATAAGTATTTTTAATAACTGAGTTAATTGATTTCTTAACTATTTTAAGAACAGGAAATACACCTTCAGATTACATTTAAATCTGTTTTTACACTGGGCCAGTCAGCACGTTGGAAGGGAGAAAATCCACCACAATCTTAGCTGAGAAAGGAGAATTCATTCCTCCCAAAAGATTCAGTGGATTTCAGTCAGTCTGTATCAGCAGTAATATGTATCATTGGTTTCCAAAGGCCTTCATTACATTATTTTGTTAATCATTTACTTGAACATCTAAATAAATGTCTGCAACTTACTATGTAAATTGCACATTATTGAGAAGACATAATCAGTGGTAATTTAATTACAGCCACAAATTTAATTTACCAACTAGTAACCTTGTTCTTCTTCAAAGCACTTAGCACAATTATAATTAATTTTTGTAATTATTAATTTAATCTTGGTGTCCCTGATTAAGTTATAAGAACCAAGAAAGCAGGATTCCTGCTTCAATCTTGCTCACAGACAGGTGTCTGGTGTCCAGCACAGGTCCTTGGCACACACAGAGGCTGTGGCTTAAAACCACATCCTGCTCTCCTCCGTATCTTCCACTTTCTTTCCTCCTTTTCCGATTTCCAAACTTTTCTTCCTTGGTTTTTCTTTTTCTTTTACATTCTTTTTTGTCTTTCCTTCTACCCTTTCTCCACCACTTTTTTTCCTTTATCTTTCCTTCTACAGTGACTGATTTCCTATGTAACTGTAACTGTGCTGGATTCTAGCCACAAAAGGATGATCAGAATAGGGACTTTAACCCTGAGAACCTCACAGTCTAGTTGAGAACCCAGGTGCCCCTTCCTCCTGCTCTTTCACTGCATTCTCCCTAAGCACCTAGGTTAAGGGAACAGGAGGGTAGGTGTCCCTACTGCGGCTCAAGTCCTGGCTCATGGCTTAATCCCTGACTCCTAAAGTCTGACCTTTACTTGCCCTCTCTGACTCTGCTCCTCTCCCAGCAGCCCAGCAGCCCAGCCCCCCTACTCCATGAGGAGGGACAACCTGACCTGGGAAAGTGAGTTTGTCTTCCTGGGGCTCTCCAGCAACAGGCAGACCCAGGCTGGACTCTTTGTCCTGTTTGCGGCCGCCTATCTGCTGACCCTGCTGGGCAACGGGCTCATCATCCTCCTGATCGGACTGGACGCGCGGCTGCACCTGCCCATGTACTTCTTCCTCTGCAACCTCTCAGTGGTGGACATCTGCTACACCTCTAGTGGGGTCCCCCAGATGCTGGTGCACTTCCTCCTGGAGAAGAAGACCATCTCCTTCACCCGATGTGGGACTCAGCTCTTCTTCTCACTGGCCCTGGGGGGTACCGAGTTCCTGCTGCTGGCCGCTATGGCCTATGACCGCTACGTGGCTGTCTGTGACCCCCTGCGCTACGTGGCAGTGATGAGCCCGAGGTGCTGCACAGGCCTGGCAGCTGTCTCTTGGCTTGTAGGCCTGGTGAATTCTACAGTGGAGACGGTGGTCACCATGCGTCTGCCTACCTGTGGGCACCACGTGCTGAACCATGTGGCCTGTGAGACGCTGGCACTCGTCCGCCTGGCCTGCGTGGACATCACCCTCAACCAGGTGGTCATACTGGCCTCCAGCGTGGTGGTGCTGCTGGTGCCATGCTGCCTCGTCTCACTGTCCTATACCTACATCGTGGCAGCCATCCTGCGGATCCGCTCCACTGGGGGACGCCGCAAGGCCTTCGGGACCTGTGCCTCCCACCTCACCGTGGTCTCCATGTCTTACGGGATGGCCCTGGTCACCTACATGCAGCCCCACTCCACAGCCTCAGCCGAGCAGGACAAGGTGGTGACGCTCTTTTATGCTGTGATGACCCCCATGTTGAATCCGCTCATCTACAGTCTACGGAACAACGAGATGAAAGCTGCTCTGAGTCGAGTTCTGATGAGGAGTTCTGAATCAAAACTTTAGCACGCAGCTTTGTCATAAGAGGCCTCACTCGGAAGCCCGTGGACCTTGGAGTGGGCATAGCGTATGCGTGTTTATAAGAGAGCAGGTAGGGAGACCCCAATCTGCACCACTATCTTTTGAGGAACTGGGAAATGGACTGTATCCCTGGACTCTATTTTTGGTCCCCGACTTCTTCTAAAAATCTGAATTACAATTTACAAATACACCCACTGGAAAACTAAATGGAAAAAAATAAATTAAAAAGATATACCAGCATATATGAATTAGAAAGGAAGATGAAATCAGAAGTCACAGCAGTGCACAAAACTTAGGCCAAAAAAGTATATTTCCTTCCTAAATCTACAACTACACGTCTAAGCTTTTCTGCAAACAGGATGGGAGGAGGGAGCTGTAATCTACAAAATTCACTGTGCCCAAAGGATCAAACGGGCTTTAGGCCAGAGGTACAAAGGTCACCCCTGTGACTCACACATGCCTGGGCCCAACCCAGCTCAGTAGGGTGGGGAATTCACAAGGGACTTGGGGCCAAAGTCATAGAAACTCTCCCCACAAACCCTGAAAAGCAGGACTAGATGGTGCGTGCGGCACATGAACACCCCTCGGCATGCCTCCACGCCCTTGGCCTTGCAGTGGTGGCAAATGGCTGGCCCTCAAGTCAAGCATTCGGGACCTCAAACATGTACTTTCTACACACTCAGGTCTAAGGATATACTCTTCCCAAAACAGAGCTGTATTCAGAATTCACGCTGGACTATCATGCCACACCCCATCAGAGGGGAGTTGAGCGAGCCACTCAGCAAGGAAAGAATCTGTTTCTAGTTTTGCCCCACTCTGGTGATACGCAATCAGTGACTGGGCTCTCAATATCCTAACCCAGAAAGTGAAACAGTGCTAGGTTTGTCCAGGAAAGTATTTAAAACAACACTTAAAAATTAAAATAAAGCATCTCTTACCTAAATATTACAGGTATCTGGTTGGTCTTACCCACAAACAACAACAAAAACCCATAAACTGAGAACAATGCAAACTTCTAATCAACCTGCTGAGAAAATGCCAAAAAGCTGCAGAGGAGGAGAATGGAGTACCTTTTTAAATTCTTAGTACAACTTTTTTTTTAATTGAGATAAAATTCACATAACACAGGATTCATGATTTGTACCATTTTAAAGTGTACAATTCAGTGGCATTTAGTATATTCACCACGTTGTTCAACCTTATGTCTATCCAGTTCCGAAACATTTTCATCACCCCAAAAGGGCACCTCAGACCCTTTAACAAGTCCCTCTCCATTCCTCCCTCCACCCAGGCCCTGGGAACCCCCGGTCTGCTTTCTGTCTTTATGGATTTGCCCACTCTAGACACTTAACAGAAATGGAATCATAACAATACGTGACCTTTTGTGCCTGCCTTCTTTCACGTAGCATAATGGTTTTGTAGCACAGAACACAGTGCTTCGTTTCTTTTTATGGCTGGATAATATTCCACCGTATGGAAACAAACACATTTTCTTCCCCACCCCCCCCCCCCCACCGCCTCCCCATTCATCAGGTAGTGGGTGTTTGGGTTATTTCTAACTAATAGTTAAAATAGTGCTGCTATATGTCCACATGCGCGTTTTTGTTTGAATTTTGCTTTTGATTCTTTGGAGCATATACCTTGGAATGGAACTGCTGGATCATATGGCAATTCTGTGTTTAACTTTTTTTTTAAGTTTGTTTGTTTGTTTGTTTGTTTGTTTGTTTTTGAGAGGGAATGAAGTAGAGACAGAGGGAGAGGATCGCAAGTAGCTCCCGGCTGTCAGCATCAAGCCCCAAGTGGGGCTCGAACTCACAAGCCGTGAGATCACGACCTGAGCCAAAATCAAGAGTTGGAAGCGCAACAGACTGAGCCACCCAGGCGCCCGTATGATTAATGTTTCTGAGGAACTGCTGAAGTGTTGGCCACCACAGCTGATCCATCATATGTTTCCACCAACAATGAAGGGGGGCTCCAACTTCTCCACATCCTCCCAACACTTAGTTTTGTTTCTTTGATTACAGTCGTCCCAGTGGGTAGGAAATGATGTCCCACTCTGGTTTTAACTTGGATGTCCCTGGTGACTAATGATGCTGAGCATCTTTCCATGTGCCTGTTGGCCATGTGTAGATCTTCGTTGGAGAAATGTCCAGCAAAAAATTTTTTTTATTTTTTATTTAAGACCCTCTCTGCTTCCTTCCCCTCCCTCAGCCCCTGCCCACCTCCTTCTCCCCTACCACGACCAGCCGCCTTCATCAGCCTTCCTCCTTCCCTGCTCCCATGCCCATGTGAGATATAAGGCACTCAGCCCCATCTCCAGTCAAAATGTTTTAACTCTCACTTTTAGATCCTCCTGTAACTATTAAGTTCTCTCCCCAAATAAACAAATTATCTTTTCCTTTCTCCACTGCCTCCATGGTTAGGTGTTTGCCTGCCCTTTGGCCAGTGCCTACATTTTGCACAGCAAAGAAACCTCAGGAGTTCTTTCTTTTTAAGTGAGAAAGAATAAATCACAAGCACTTGTAATTTAATATATTTTCCTTTATCTTCATCATGTATCTACGGAACATCTACCACTGAGCAGCAGGATATCCTAGCACACTTTCTAACATAGCCAGGCTATAAAATGATCACCAAGATCACTGAATGAGCAAGCTTTGTGTATGGAGGTTCTTTTTTATAAAACCAGTTAAAATTTGGAAGGGGTCAACCAAAAGCAATGATGTCCCTTCTTTACAGGTTGAGCTAGAATCCTTTATTAAAGTACAATATAGTTGGGGCGCCTGGGTGGCACAGTCGGTTAAGCGTCCGACTTCAGCCAGGTCACGATCTCGCGGTCCGTGAGTTCGAGCCCCGCGTCGGGCTCTGGGCTGATGGCTCAGAGCCTGGAGCCTGTTTCCAATTCTGTGTCTCCCTCTCTCTCTGCCCCTCCCCCGTTCATGCTCTGTCTCTCTCTATCCCAAAAATAAATAAACGTTGAAAAAAAAAATTAAAAAAAAAATAAAGTACAATATAGTAGGGACAATAATCTATTAAGACATCCTCTAATCCTAATAATGAAAACATACCTTCTGTATACAGAATAATACTTGTATTGTTTGTGGCAGGAGGGCAAACATCTAGTTTATCCAAAGAAGACACCAATTCACTAAATTGCAAGTTAGAAAAAGAAGGTAGTAGGTCCAAAATATTTTCCTACTTACCTTATTGTTTGACTTTTCGAATTTAAAAAACAAAAATGTGGCCCTTGTCTCTTTATTATTTTTTATTTTTTTTAATGTTTATTTTTGAGAGAGCATGAGTGGGCAAGGTGCAGAGAAGAGGTGGGGAACAGAAGATCTGAAGTGGAGGAAGATCTCTGCGCTGATAACAGAGAGCCCTACGGGGGGCTCAAACTCACAAACCAAGAGATCATGACCTGAGCCAAAGTCAGACGCTCAACTGACTGAGCCACCCATGTGCCCCTGGCCCTTGTCTCTTCCAAGAGAGACTCAGTGTATTTGAAGGGCACTTACTAATCAGGAGGAAAAACTGGTCCCACAAGAGACCCTTCTGAGTGGAGCTATTCTTGAGATGCTATTACAGAGTGAACTCTCTGAAAACATCAATAGGAAAGGTCTATACTGAGCTCACGGATGAGAGAATGAATTTTAAAACCACTCTTCACTATGATGTTCATTCAGCCAGCCGACCAACTCTATATGCCAGTCTCCATTAGAAATGAGAAAGGGGTGAGGTGCCTGGGGGGCCCAGTCGGTTGGGCATCCGACTTTGGCTCAGGTCATGATCTCATAGTTCGTGAGTTCAAGCCCCACGTCGGGAGCCTGCTTCGGATTCTGTGTCTCCCTCTCTCTCTGCTCCTCCCCCGCTCATGCTCTGTCTCTCCCTCTCTCTCCTTCAAAAACAAATTTTTTAAAAAAATTGAAAAAAAAAAGAACTGAGAAAGGGGTACGACAAGAAAACACCCTGTCTACCCTTCAAGCAGTTAGTTTGTTAGAAGTCATAAAAGGCAAGTAAGAAGTTCAGGCACAGTGGAGGCGCTCTTCCAATTCTACCTCCTGGCTGCAGAGAAAGTTGAGAGTCCTGGTGTGTGGGCTCCATACTCTGACTAAACTAGAGGGTGAATATTTTCCTCTTGGATGAAATGGAAGGAGGCCAGCTGGCCTAACGAACTGGGCCACCAGTCCGCCTGCCTCTCGAAACTGCTCTTCAGCCAGTTTCCCTATGTTACATCACGTCGTGGCAGCTTGAAGTCCCTAGGGAGCCGCATCCTAAAACATCACACCTTGCCTGACTGCCCTCCCCCATAAATCTCACCTGTCCCACACATCATTTTGCGGTGATGCTGCTCCCCACTAGCTGCTGTGATACACTGTGTGCTCCACATGATAACACAATATGATGTAGAGGGAAGAACATGGGAACATGGTCCTCCGATTCCACATCCAGTTCCAGCCCTGCTCCTGGCTTTGCTCACACAAACCCCTTCTGTTCCTGAGCCTCAGTGTCCTCATTTGTAAAACGACAAGGTTGAAATGATGATCCTGAAAGTTCCTTCCAGCTTTTCTGTCATTTCTGTGTTCTCTCTCGTTTTGCATTTTATTCCCTTCCATGGGGAGAGTTTTAGTTGCTGTTTGGGCACTCAGGAGCCGTGTCGGGTGAGTAACATTTGGCTGCTTACTGCACTGACTAAGGAAATAGGTTCTGTGGAAAACTGGGGCTCTATCCCAGGTGCAGGGCTCAGAAAACCAGCAGGGTGCCCTGCCAAAGCCAGTCTCTGTTCTTAGCATTTTCCACAGTGACACCTTCTGGCCACAGAAGGACTGAAAGAACGAAAGGAGTAGGTTCCAACCAGGTAGGAGAGACAGAGGGTGGTGTCCACCTGCTTTGCCCTTTTCACCCCCATCCACCCATGAGCTCTATCTTCAAGCCTTGTTAGAAAAACTTGGGTTGAATTGTTTTCATTTCCATTTCATTGCATTCTATGACCCATCTTTCGTATCTGTGACACAGATCCTTTTCAGTTAGATAAT